GTGAATGTGCTTGGTTGTCTGTCTCTAAGTGTGGCCCTGTGATAGACTGGTGACCTGTCCAGGGTGTCCCCTGCCTTCGCCCTAAGTCAGCTGGGATAGGCTCCAGCCCCCCCGCGACCCTCGTGAGGATTAAGCGGTGTATAGATAATGGATGGATGGAACTGATAAAGATTTGCAGTAAAAATCTAAATCTTTGTGTCAAAATGTAGAATAACACAAACACTAAGACAAACCTTCATGAAATATTTGGGCTGCAACAATTATTTGATTCATTGATTAGTTGTTAACTATGAAATCATCCAACCATGTTAAAAATTGATTAATCAGTTTGAGCAACCTTTTAACAAAATCTTTCTAAATTCAGTCATTGCAGCTTCTTAAATGTGAATATTTTCTGGTTTCTTTCCTCCTGTGAGGATCCAGCCTCTAGGGTCACAACTGTACAACTATGTGTACAACTATATTAAATGTATTTAATACTTGGAGACTTTTGTGAAGCAAACTAAACTAAGTGTTCTTCTATCAGGATCCATCAGAGACTCAAACCTGAACCTGAACCTGCATCCAGCTTTAAAGGAGAACAACCTCCTGCTGTGAAGAGGTAATCTGTATGTAGATGTTGTAACTGTGTAAACTGAGTGTCTCAGTTTAAATGTCTGAATGAGTAAATCCTCAAACACATGTTGAGTGTCAGCTCAGCTCTTCATCACATGTATATGTTCCTCTGTGAAGCGCTGTGTGCTGTCAGAGCCTTTCTGTGGTGGAGAGGCTGCAGGACAGCAGCTGCTCCAGCAGGTGGCGCCTTTGTTGTTTTTCTCCAACACAGTGACGGCAGGAACTTCGTCTCAGGTGGAAGGTGCTGCTGGACAGAGGAGGACAAATAGTTTTGTGACTGTGAAAACTGCTTTGATGTCCTGGAGAGACATTTGGCTTCATGGGGGAGTCGGTCCTGGATGCTGCTACATCACATCAGCAGCTCTGATCACATTTGTTTTGAGGCAGTTTCTCTGATTTGTGACTGATGAACTTACTGATTCATCGTTGTTATGTCTGAATGATTTGTGGTAAATATTAAATTGAATTTTTTTTGTCAGAAAGAAGCACTTGATTTGATTTGTGATTTAATTTCAAGTCAAGCCTCAGTTTAATATTCACTGTGTAACAGATTCAGAACGTGATGGAGAATCACTACATGAGAAACCATCAACGTGAGACTGTCACACAAGAAGGAATCTGTGAAACCACTGACACACAGTTCAAACTCTGCTTCAGACGTGTTGTTTAACTTACATCCTAAACTACATTG